GGGGGCCCCCCCCCTCCGGTGGCGGGGCCCGGCCAAAAAGCAGCATCCCCCTCCCTGCTACACCATGCCCTGGCTGCGCTTGCTGCGCCACACGACGAGCGCCGTGGCCAGCAGCGTGACGAGGACGGGGCCTGCGATGAAGGGGCAGAGCACCCCGGCCGGGGGGTCCCGCAGCGCGCGGCCCGACTTCGAGCATTTGCGGAAGTAGTGCCGGTGCACGGCCACGAAGAAGTCGTCCACCAGGCGGTTGGGCCAGTAGCAGGCCAACTTCTCGGCCAGCAGCTGCGCCACACGACGAGCGCCGTGGCCAGCAGCGTGACGAGGACGGGGCCTGCGATGAAGGGGCAGAGCACCCCGGCCGGGGGGTCCCGCAGCGCGCGGCCCGACTTCGAGCATTTGCGGAAGTAGTGCCGGTGCACGGCCACGAAGAAGTCGTCCACCAGGCGGTTGGGCCAGTAGCAGGCCAACTTCTCGGCCAGCAGCGCCGTGCAGTTGGTGAGCTCGCCGTACGTCCTGCGGGGGGACAGAGAGGCCGCCTGTGCTGTCGCCACCCACGTGGGGACAGCGCTTGGCGAGCAGCCATACTTGGAGCGGTCGTTACCGTGCCACACGTTGGCCTTCTTGCTTCAGGAACCTGTAAGGGCCCACTTGCAAAGCCCCTCTCCATGCCCACCTCCACCCCATGGCTGGCGCTGTAGGACCACACCACGTCTCACCAGGACAAGTTCTGGAGAGCCACCCTGAGCCCTGGTCCCTGCTGCAGAGGCTCCCAGTGGGACAAGGTGGTCCTGCCACACTTGCCACCCTGGCAGCAGGTCCCACCAGCCACCACCTCCCGGCAGGCTGTGGGCACATGGGAGCTCTGGTGCTCAGCACCCGGAAATAGCCAGGCTCCTGGGGTGCTAAGAAGGGCTTCTCTTTATATATATTTAAATATATATATATATATATAGAGAGAGAGAGAAATGGATACAGCTGCTAAATCAGGCAGCCAGAGAAAAGAAAGGCCAAGGAGCCGTCGC